GACGTCCACTGTTGGATTTGGTATTTTTGTGGGACTTTTTTCTGTTGGTGAGAAACGGCCAGTCACAGAGCTTTATGTTGACAGTGAGCTGAAGTTAAAGTTCACCATTCAGCTCATTCACACGTGGCTGGCTTCTTATCAATGGCAACAGCAGCAGAGGCTGATGGGTACTGTAGTATTTTAGACCCAGAACAAACCTGAAATGTCAGAAACAGTGTAAATAATTCAAACTGGTGTCCAAAACGCAAACCCGTGATGGTGACGAGTGTGTAGAATGCAAAAGTATAGTGCAGAAACGAGTGTGTAAAGACACGTGTGCAGAAGGTGAGTGTGTAGAAGATGTGTAGTAAGCACAAATGTGCAGAGACTCGACTGCATAGAGACAAGTGTGTAGAAGACATGAGTGTGTAAAAGATGTGTGAAGTAGACAAGTATGCAGAGTGTATCAGATGATTGTGTAACAGCAGCGTGTGTGTCCTCAGCTTTACGAGGGTCGGCCTTTAAAGCAGAGCTCTCAGACAAACAGGCAGCGTATTGTGATGAATGAGCCTCTCTCTGTAAAAGCTCTGCCGTGTAATTTCCTCTGACCCTGTTTGAACAACCTCTGCAGCCTCCTCTACAGGATTGCTGCTTCCTCCTGCTGCCTCATTCAACACAAGCTGCACGCCTTTCTGACATTTCTGGGTCTGCAAATTTAGAGTTGAAATGTTTCACTCTTCCCTCTCTTGTTTAAATTCAGTCCAGTTGGAGTGTTCGGAGTGTGTTAGAGCTTCCAGCTGGGCTTGTGTGTTAGGGGCAGGATGGCTGCAGTCATAATATTGATACAGCTCAACACGTTGGAAGCTGTTCAATAATACCAGTCATTTCCTATCTCAGCATTGAGGAGCTCAGGGAGGTGTGTTGGATGGTGTGCCTCTCGGTCCCATTACAGTGCTCGTCTGCAGGTTATCAGATGGCGCAGACGCACGGGGCTGCAGACAGACATCGATCTCTGAGTGAGTTCTCCATCTGTCATGTTAATCCGGCCATGACGGTACCCTCAGCCTTGTGCGCTTTGACTGACCAAAGAGTCTCGCTTGACTCCGACACAGGGGTCAAAGGTCACAGGCATGTTTGACTCAGTGAGGATCTGAGAGAGCTGCAGACTCATCACTCTGGTTATTCTCCTTAAGCTTTACAGTTTAGTCATGTCAGATTTATTTGTAGAGCACATAAACAACTGATTTAGACACATTTAAATGATAATTCAATAAGTAAAATAAAGTTTTGGATGGTTCCAGCTTGTTAAATGTGAGAATTTGCAGCTTTTCTTGTGTTAGTATCATAGCTAGATATAGTTTGTTTTGGACTCACAAACCTCCAGGGTTACGAGCACTGGCATCAGTCTGGTGGGGTTGAGGTCTCCACTTCAGGTCTGTGTGATGGGCATTTTCCTTAAGTGTTATAAACCTAATTATTTTTTGATTAGTTAAGAAATAATCTAGGCTAATTGATAGTGAAGATGTTTGTCAGTTGCCACTACTTTGATTTGCAACAGGATGTCCTGTCGTTTTAATTTGGAAGTTTTACACAGCACAGCAACGTCAGACTTGAGGTCCATGGATGAGCTTGGCAGAGCCCTTTAAGTGGGTAGACTTTGGGATTTGTTTTCCTCCTCCTGTACTAACTCCAGCACCATGTAGCAGAGTTCTGGGCCAATTCAGACTCTTCCAGCTCTTGGTTCAGCTCAGAGAAAGATGGTGTAACTTTGGACATTTAACCAGAATCACCACCATTTCCAAACTTGACCCAGATTGTCTGCTGACTGATTGTTGATGCTCATTCATTTAATCAACAGTTCATCTCTAAATATTCTGATCACCAGTTAATCAGATTGCAAATGTTGTGTGTTTTCAGGTCCAGAAATCTTTACTTGCTTGTCTTCTTCACTAAACCGATTTGGACTCCTGTTACAGCGTGTTATCTATTTGCTGACATTTTATAGACAAATCAGTTAATCGAGGAAACACTCTGTGGAATAACTGGTAATGAAAGAAGGATTCCTTGCAGCCCTACCATACTGGGACTGCAGTCAGAGGATGTGCTATGATTCCAAGTATCAGCTCTGTTTGTGTAAAAACAACGCGTATGGAGGAGTTTTGTATTTCCTGCACGTCATGTTAGAAAGGAGCCGCGCTGCAGCACCTTGAGTCTGTGCTGTTCTTTGCCCTTGAGTGCTGAATCATCAGAACGCAGCAGCAGATTCACAGGTAGAAAAATGACTGTGGGCTGTTTTCAGAGCACATTTGTTGTGGGCATAATTTTTGTGGAGTGTTTTTGTGGTTTTTCCTGGTGTGTATCCTCCCATGGGCTTTGCAGCCTGCATTACTTGTTAATGTCAAATAATGGTGTCTGACTTAATGGGGTCTTTTTATAGATGTTGCTTCTTAAATCTCTTCCAAAGCAGAGGGGTGAGGGAGGAAGAGAGACAGAGATGCTGTGGGAGGTGCATGCAGGTGTTCTTTAAGTTGTGTAGCGTCCTCCTCCACCTCAGAGTCCAAACTCTGCACACACACACCTGAAACAGCTGTTGACATGATCCGGTATCGGTGCATCCCTACCGGAGGCAGTGACCACATTCAACAACATCTTCCTAAGTGTTCTCTTAAATTTCTTTGTACGTACGTTGTTCTTAAGAAAGGTCCTAAGAGAAGTTAGATTCATGAACACGGTCTTGGCCCGCAGAATTGTTTGCACCTGTTCAGAATCTAAAGACGGTGGAGCCAGGGACTCCACACCGAGGAACTGGTTGGGTAATTATGAAGAGGAGAACAGTGAGTGAGCTACTGTGTTTAGTAGCATCAGTAGTGGATATAAACTACAACAAAAACGTGCAAGGATTGCTCTGCTCAGTGGAAGGAGAAGGGTGCACAACTCGTGGATTAAAAAGATGTTTGACCTCAAATCAGAGGCAACAAAACAAATACGGAAGAGGGAGGCTGTCCAGTGGATGAGAACAGGCTGGCCCAGAGGCATCCGAGCTGGACCGGTGCGTCGGGGCCGTGCACGGCTCTCTCGGGTGGGCCGTCAGCTGAGCAGACCGTCATGTGGGCCCCCAGGTCCCTTCAGCCGCCCTGAGTCTGATCTCAGACACTGGACAACCAAACGCTGACACACTGGCCACAATATCCCAGAGATACTTAGAAATTAAAAGATATTAGAAATGGAGATGGTTTAATGCGGTTCCTAAGTCTAAACTACAAATAATTACTCTGTAAAAGTTTCATTAATTTTAAAACCTAAAAAACAAACAATCACTTGCTGTAATTTTACAGTTTATTCTTTTTAAAAGACCATGCTTTGTAAAATAATGGGAAAATGTTAAAGAAATACTAATAATGGCAAAACTGTTACTGTAATTTAACTGTTCTAATGTTATATAACTGTAATTAAATAATCCGTTATCAGTTCACACACGTCAGTGCTCAGACGTGCAGGAGTGTGCATAGATTCAGCTACAACAGTCAAGTCCTGCTTTTACACCAGTGCACGAGCGGCAGGCTGTTGATGTAATAATGTCTGGTACAGTGTAACATGTTTCTGCATTGAGTATTCTGCTAATACTTTAAGTACATTTTTGTGTTAATGCTTAAAATGATTAATGCAGGACTTTTTGTAACAGAGTAGGCTACTTTTACAGTGGTATTAGTATATTTACTTCAGTTCGGTTTTATTTGTATAGCACCAAATCACAACAAAAGTCTTGTCAGGACACTTTACAAAGTCAGGTCCAGACCTTACTATTATCACTATTATTATTATTATTATAATAGAGGAAAAAACCCAACAAACCCCCCTGAGCAGTACTTGGCGACAGCGTGGAGGAAAAAGTCCCTTTAATGGAAGAAACCTCTGACAGACCTTTGTTTAAGTAAAGGATGTGAATACGTCCTCTACTGCTGGTGCTAACATGCTTTAACATGTTATGTGCTGTTATTTTATAAATCAGTTTATTCTTCAGGGTCAGTCCAGTGCTGCCGTCCAGCTCAGTCATTCCTCTGAGGGAAGTTGTGGCTGATAACAGTAGTATTTGTGTAATACTGTGAAACGGTTATCCTACTGTGAACTTGTACCGTTATAACACTGGCTGCACTGTCTGGTGTTTGTGCTGATCTGCTTCATGTATTCATCGACTTCTCTTTCTAATGAGCATGTTGAGCCGGTTGAGGTTAAAGCGAATGGAGCTTCATCATTAGTCCTTCGAGCCGCTGCCTCACACATTGTCAGCTCAGCCTCCAGTAAGAACGTGTGTGAGTGTCGCTGCATGTGCTGTACCTGCCTGGTTTATTTCCAGAGCCGCTGCAGGGCCACAGCTGCTGAGAGAAGCTGTTTGACTCAAAGAGAAACAGCTGCTCGGCCTCATGGGAGCTGGGAGTATGTAGTCAGCAGGACGTTCTGAGACTTTCTTCAGCAGCCTATAGAACAGCACCACAGTGAACTTGCAGCCTCCAGTCTGAAGCTAGCGTTAGCTGGTAGCTGAGAGACGCTGCAGCCTTTCCCACCATCACTGGGGTTATCAGACAGTGTTGAGAATCTTAGCTAATGCATCTTTAGCACTGGACGCACCATGTGCCAGGATGTTTGGAGCATTACTTTCTCTCTGTAAACCACTGGTGCAGGCTTCTAAGTGAATAGAGTATTTCAAGTCTCTTAGTAATGGGTGTGGTGCACCTTTCAGGCCACAGATTGCATAATGCTAACATGATATTCCGGTATCAAGTGGAAATGTGCTTCATCATCACAGAGACACACAGATTGTTGTGTTTAGTCTTTGTGGGATGAACTACTCACAGCACTGAGCAACCTCACCCTTTATTCCTACATTAATACTGCAGCACTTCTCTTCCCATCTGGACTCTTTGAAACCTTTAAACAGTCATCATTTTCAGTTCCATATTGCAAAGTGGATGAATTTGCTTTGATTTATGTCTTTTTTTCTTTTTCCTGCCTTTTCTACACAGCCCCCAAAGGTCACGTGGAAAAATAATATTGAAAACATGGGTTAAAGTGGCTCAGCTTGGATGCTTCACTCAGCTCTGGCCTTGTTGTGTCGCTGCTTCCCGTCCGTGTGTGTCAGGGCAGTGTATCTGGCTTCGGGATGAACAACGTTGAGCTCCTAAACTACCACATGCACAGATGTAACTGAAATGTGAGCCACATGCGCACAAGAATAACAACTGGGTGGTGTGTGCAATGGTCAAACAGCTCAGTTTCCTCCCAAACTGGTTTTCTCTAATTGTGTGTATACCTATTATTTTCTCAATTGATTATTTTATGAAATGTAAAATTTTGCTGAACCCCAGTGACATTTTCAGATATCTTGTTTTGTTCAACTGAAAGGCAGCTGTTCTACATGAACACAAGTCAGTACAAGACCAGTAGACAATATGAAATGATCCCTGTGCAATGTTTTCTGAACAGCATGTCCTTTGCTGTCGTCAGGCGGCGTGGTCGTGGCTGATCTGGGATGAGCCTGGCGGAGTTTAGGCTGCAGGACTCGCAGTGTGTCCGGAGGAGGTGGCTGTCTGCGGCCATGAAGCCGCCCTGCTCCCTCTCCTGCTACCTGTGGTTCCTCCTGCTTCTGGGAGCCGGATCTCTCCTGCTGCTCGCCCACCTGCAGGACCTCACCGAGACGGTCCAACAGCAGTCCCCAGGTCAGTGCTGGTGCTGGCTGTAGACATCTGCTGTTTACCTTTTAAGACTGTTTTTTTTTTCCTGTATTTGGCATATGAAGGCCCCTCAGCTGGGAATCTAACCGTCGTGGTTGACCATTTGCCGCCAGTTTACATTTCTCATGACAACATGATGGTTACGGTCAAACTGGTTAAACCTCTGGTTAGGTAACCAGAAGATTGCATTTACCTGAAATAGTCACAGAGTTAATGCACTGTCTGGCAAACTAGGCGGTCTGGATTCACCACACCCAGTACTCGTGTTGGATTTCAGTTTGGTGGATCCAGTGTCTGGCAGTCTGTCCATGACTGTAGGACATGAAGCAACAGTGTATGGATCAGGTCGGCTAATTCTGTCTGAACCCGACCTGGGCCTGACGCAGTTTACGTGGTGTTTTGCTTGAAGTTTGACTTGCATGAACGAATCCAAAGCCTCGGGTGCCGACTGGTCCCAACATGCCCCGCTCGGGGATCCACCCTCTAGTGACAGATGGCAGCTATTGATCAATATTACCTCATATCAGAACATTTGATTTGCATTCATTAAACAGTGGAAGTATTAATGATGTACAGTACACTTTGTTATCGCCAGGACTAGTGACCCTGAACCCGGCCCTGAGCACAGTTTCACGGTTCAGGATTTCACTGCAAATGTCGGCCAAACACTCAGTGCTGTGTCGACACAGCGGAGCCCTTCAGACTATAAAAAGCTTGTTTGCTGGATGTTTGGATTCCAGCACGACGTGAATCCAGTCTCTTTGGTTTGCTCATGTCTTTCTGACTATGGATTTTTTTCTTTCATAATCATATCAGATATCACATTAAGATATTGGGTTCCTGGCCTCCCGTCCAAACAGAAACTAAAATGAGAGATCAGCTGTTTCTTCGGCTCCGTATTTTCTTTCATAAATGATCGGATGCCACTAAAACCTGATTGATTAGCACGCCAATAATCTCAGCGGAGTGGAAAGAACGCACAGCCAGATTACAAGATGATATAACAATTGACAGACTGTTTCAGATGATTGTGCTTGTTTAATTAAATCAATGGCTCCCAGTAAAAGCTGTGAAACCGGATCCCTCCTCTGCTCAGTGCCGTCTGATAATCTAATAACACTTAAGTGCTGTTCAGAGGCAGGAACACAAATCACACTCCGCAGCTCCATCAATCGCACGAACGCCAGGGAATCCTCTGAGCACAGCATCCTGCACCCACCCCCACAGCCGCAAGTACTCGAGTACTACACTTAGTGCAGTTTTGAGGTACTTTATTTATATTTTATTCTATTTGACACTGCTGCTTCACTACATTTTCAGACATGTATTGAAGTTCACTTCATTAGAGTGGCAGTTATTAATCGACCAGTACAACTATAATGATGACCAGATAGTTCTTGAAGCTGAGAATACTTGTGTTCTTTTACTACTGATACTTTACACAGAGCTGAGGATACTAGTGTACTTTTACTGCTGATACTTCAGTTGCATGATAATGGTTGTGTAGGGTTTCAAAGGCAGGAGCTCGGCTTGTATTGGAGTATTTTTCCACTGCAGTATTGATACTTTTGAGCCTACAGATGTCTTACTGTGATGCCTCACAGTGATTCAGGTAAATACTGCTTCAGAGTACACAAAGAAGAAACCAAAAACTGCTTTAACCCTGCAGCTTCTGCCAGGTTCAGAGTTTGATTTCTAATTTAAATAAAAATAACTGAAGTGAAACTGGTCCCAGTGATATCACTGCCACCACAGACAATATACACATTGTAAAAACTTCGGCAGCTTCCAATAAAAGATAACTTACTTTTAAACTGTGCTTTTCTTTAAAGCTGTGGTGAAAAGAAGCGTCAGCATGTCTGCATTCAGGCGAGACGAGCTCTGCGAGGGAAAGCACATTAAATTATCTCAGAGCTCCCTCCGTGTGCTGCAGATTCAATTTCCTCCCTTAAGTGAGCTAATGCAGTTTGAAAGTTTGGCTGCGGGTGTGTGACATGTGAGATGTGCGGCCTATTTCAGTCCAAACACAAACATGTCACCGCACGCCTCAGCCTGATTTGAACAGTGCACTTTAATTAATGTTCTCTGGGTCTGCCAGGAGGGGGCTGTTTATTCCAGGATAAATAACAGGAGTGATGCCCACATTATTCGGTTGGTGGGAGTCTCTCTGTGTTGGTTTTGAGTCTCTCTGAGGTGATTTTGATTGTCTTTGCGGTTGTTTTTTGTCTGTTTGTGGGTGCTTGGTGTCTCTTTGCAGTTGTGTTGCCTTGCTGTGTGTGGTTTGGGTGGTTTTGTAAAGGTTCGGTTCATATCCTGTGGTCGTCTAATGATTAACACTGACTGGTGGTACACATTTACAGTACAGGTACTACCTTGTCTTAGCTAGAATTAGAGAACATGACAAATGATACATTTATCAATACAAATGATATAGCTGATAAATTTGTGCTTTCCCTTGCATGACATGGTGGTAAGAGTTTGAACGTCTTGACGTGTGTGTTCTCCGCGGTGCCGTGAATGCGAGTTACATGGCGGAGGTTTGGACAGGTAACCATGGCAGCTGTGAATTCAAGATGAAGGCATGGTTGCTTTAAAATGAGAGTCAAAAATCAGTGTGTGGGAGTTTTTCTTTTTGAAGAGGGATCAAAAATCTCTCTGGGCTGTGGAGCATTGAAGGCTTTGTTTCATTACAGCTTAACCTCCACCTTTAACTCCATGTGGCTGCTTTTACACCTCTGTTACTGCTGGGACTCTCTACTGTGATGTAAGACTCTGAGAGCAGCTCACAGCAGGCTCAGGGTATTTTATCACTCCTCCTAAACACAGATTTAGCTTTGCTTTAGTGAGTGGGCTCTGAGATTTATCAAATACTCATTTTCCTGCAAGGAATCCTTCTGTTTTCTCTCATCACCACTTGGAGGAAGTATTACTGTGGATATTTCACATTTTAGATCTGCAGGGTTCCTTAAACAGAGACGGACAGAAGTCTGCAGATGAACACGCAGCTGTGTGGTTAGCTGGCGTCAGAAGTCAAATCCTGCACGGTTTAGACATGTGACAATAAAACAATAGACAGCAAATTAATTGGCATCTATTTTTAAGCAAACTGTTGGTGGTTTCAGCTTTCTGTTGCCATTTTGATTTTATTTTATTTTTCTATTTCAGGTTGCAGTCTGAGTGGGTTTTGTGACGTCGGTCGTACATAGTGAAACAAGCCGTTTGAAGAAATCATAATTTCACTATTTACAGACCAAAAAAAAAACTAATGTAGTAATTAAGAGTATTCCACAGAATGATCAATAATTAAATAAATAAAATAATCCTCAGTGCACTTAATCAAAACAGACAATCCAGAAGGTAAATGTTTAAAATAAGGTTCATTGGAGAAGAAGGACTGTGCTGCTCACCTTGATGGAATTTTCCTTTTAATATCAAATATCAGACCCCAACTCGACTGAGCCCAGACACCAACCCAGCCAGAGAGCACGTCTACATTTCAGTCATTTCTTCAACAATATAAATTTGGAAAGACGTGCTCTACTCTGACAGCAGCAACAGGTCAGCACAGACTGTCACAGTGACAACGTGTATAGAATATATAGAGGTTTAGGGGCAAAACACACACTGCAGCATCAAATAAAGTGTCTGCATCAGCATTTAGCAGATAAACCCGGTGTGTTTCATTACTGGCCTTCGAGAAGGAGCTGTGGAGGAAAGCTGGAGGTTTAACAAGCCCGTAAAGTTTCAACAGTGTACCGGCCTACCCTGAGTCTTTGGGGGATCCATTACTGACCGCTAGCTCGCCGGGCTAATGCTACGCATTGCTTCTGCTCTCTCTCTCCATGTGTCTCCCAGTGGACATCTGTTTACAAGACATGACACACATCGACACAGACATCAGAGAGAAAGACAGAGTTGTCTCATTGAGTTACATCTGAGCTGCATTTTATGTGAATTGTGTATCTCTGATGTAAAATATTTACACGTCAACGTCACCCTGTGTCAGCGCTCTGTTGACCAGCAGGCAGAACTGGAAAACATCAGCAGTAATGAGCTTTGTCTGTGTTCTTGATGTGGCTCTGGTTGCTTCAGCTGATGGTCAAACAGATACATGTGAAGCTCTAAGCAGCTTGGACCTTGTTCTGGACCCTCATCAGTTTTCACCTGGTAATCCCATTGAAGCTTTATGCAACAACACCCACACACTGAACTCTGGTCTGGTGTTGGTCTACATTTCTCAAATCCCACAGTCAGATCCAGCAGCGTGTTAGTCTGTCATTCTGACTTCCTGTCTGTGGCTCTCAGCTCCAAGCCCACTGGTTTGTCCACTCTACACATAATCACACAGATTCCTGTTGGCATATGGTGCTAATACAGAGGATCCACTGACAGGATAGTGGTTGAAAAACATTGCTGTTGCTCTGTAATGGCCTGTCTACTGGTGCTGTTTAAAACACCCAGGTAATATTGCTGTCTCACCTGGTGCACCGGGGCTGCTGTCAGCACACACAGTGTTGTGAGTCAGCACTGACCCAAGGTCAAGGTCTTCTGTGCGGCAGGATGCTATGAAGAAGCTGAGCGTCTCTGACCTTCGCCCACCTTCCAGTCGCTGCATCTCGTTGGTAATCAGGAGGCAGCGTTTCCTTCTGTCTTTGCCAGCATCTTTATCATCTGCATAAGGTCAGGTCCTCTGCTGATGTGTTGCAACCGGGGCACACGTCTCCTTGAATATGAAATATTAAGTCCGCATAGAAACTGGATCCACTTGGAAATAGATGTCATAATGTCTTGTTATTATGAGGAAATATAAAGAGTAGGATTGAGCCCTTCTCCTGCCTACAGCCAGTGATCATGAGCTCACATCCAGCAGCAGACTGCTGATGCCCCAGTCTTCATATTGTCTGAGGACGCCCACAGCAACAGACGGGAAAAGAAGAACATTGAGATGCCAGCAGGCGAGTTCAGTCCTCTCTGCCCCTGCACTG